AGATACTACTTTGACATGTTAGATTTAGAATTACTGATTTAGACCCTCATTCATCAAAGTACTTGAGTATAATTTAAAAGCTAAACCTGTGGTTTAGTGCTTTGCTGAATCGGGGTCTTAAATCACAGGAGAATGCTTAGCACCTTGTAGGATTGTGAAGTGCTGAATTCTCTCAACACTCACTGACAGATCTCATAGGAGTTCTGAGCTTGCTGCATTACTGAGCCATTGATCATAAACACTGGAATTGATATTGGAGCAAGTTAAAGTCTAGACCAGTGGTAGGCAACCTCTAGCCTATTGGGAGTCTATGTGGCTCATGAGACATTTTGTTTACTGTTGCCCATTAGAGTTGACAGATTCTGCTAGTTTCCGTTTGCATCGTTTTTCCCTACCAGTATTACTAAAGTGACATGCACATAAAGCAAGGACACATGAAGTGAGGTGCATGCTGATTGCACACAACATTTAGGCTGTGTCTAGACCGACATGATTTTGCGCAAATATTTTTAACAGAAAATTTTTTCCGTTAAAAGTACTTGCGCAAGAGAGCCTCTATACTGGCAAGTGCCTTTGCGCAAAAGATTTGCTTTTGCGCAAAAGCATCCGTGCCAGTGTAGACGCTCTCTTGCTCAAGAAAGCTCCAATGGCCATTTTAGCCATCGGGCTTTCTTGCGCAAGAAATTAACGTTGCTGTCTACACTGGCCCTCTTGCGCAAGAATACCTATGCAAGAGGGCTTATCCCTAAGAGGGAGCGTCAGAGTATTTGCTCAAGAAGCACTGATTTTGTACATTACAAAGTCAGTGTTCTTGTGCAAATACTCGTGGCCAGTGTAGACAGGTGGCAAGATTTTGCGTAAAGCGTCCGCTTTTGCGCAAAATCATGCCAGTCAAGACGCAGCCTTAATGTAAGAGAGACCCATTTCCCTCTGCATCCGATCAAAGTGCTCCTATGGTTCAGTCGACACACCCTGCAAATTCTAGGTACGCAAGCTCAGTTAGTAAAACTACCCAGTCTTGGGAGACCATATTGATTACGACAATTTTGCAGCCCACTGAGATGGAGAGCCACTCCTGCAGCCCACTCAGCCCAGGTTGTCCATCCCTCCTCTAGATATGCTGAGCCTAATTGCAAGGAATGATGGCCTTTGCTAGGTTTGGGGTGTGTGTGCAGAAGCTGGCAGGAGCCATGCTGCCTTGGTGTCACCATTTTAAGATTAAGCTGTCTCTCTTTTTTGGGTTAGTTTTTAAATAACAACCAACAGTAGAGTTTATCAAAGAATCTTGCATACCTTGTATCTGTAGACAGTATGATTTTATTTCCACCCCGTTGCCTTTAAAAACACATCTTCCAATAAATAACTTTGGGAGAAGATTTTCCGGTGGCATCATTTGTCCTTCTTTCACATATCCTCTCACTTCAAATCCTTTTGTTTAAGTCCTAAATACCAATATATTCAGTAGCTTCAGAGGGGTTGCTGAGTTAGTCTGTAACAGGAAAAACTGAAAAACAACAAATAGTCTAGTAGCACCTTTAAGACTAACAAAACATGTAGATGGTATCATGAGCGTTCATGGGCACAGGCCACTAGACAGATCTGGACTTCTAACACTCCTGTATCTGAAGAAGTGGGTTGTGCCCCAAACGCTCATGATACCATCTACATGTTTTCTTAGTCCTTAAGGTGCTACTCGACTATTTGTTGTTTTTTAAGTTTTTCCTTTTTAATATATTCAGTGTTTTACAATAGTGAAGTTATGGATGTGGCTCTGTGGATGCTTTTACTCCATTATTGGTGTATGTAATGTTCCTTGTCTCATAGTTAGTTAAGCCTACAGTGAATGAGAAGGCAGAAAAATCAAGTGTCTTGTGTATCAAGAATTTAAATAAGAACCCGCCTTCCATTAAGCATTCCATATTCAGTTTGAATTGCTCACATTGTTTTGACATAGGTGGTGAGGTAGTTTGCAGATATCTTTTCTGGCAGACTTTCCACTGTAACATTAAGGTTTGACATTTCCAGGGGACTGACTAAAAACATTGTCAGATCATTACAACTCCTTTGTGAGCCCAGTGTGTAAGTGTCCTCCCCATTTTTATAAATGAGGGAGACTCAAATCACAGCAAAGTTATTTACACAAAGCAAATTGAAAATAAAGTTGGTCATGGTCCAGCTTTATCTTATGCCTGCCCACCTGCATTGCTTTTCCTAATTCTTTTTCTTAAACAAGCAGACAAGACTTGTATGATTACTCACTTGTTTCAGCAATCATTTATCCGCTGACTTAGCTGCTCGGCAGGTGACTATAAGGAATTACTATTTAGATTTGATCAAGTTCGGGACCAACCTTTTCTACTTAAAGAATAGAAACATTTGCCTATCTAGGCTGTAAATATTCCTTTCTCCCCAATAGCAAAGGTCAGTTTATAATGACCCTCCCATTTAACTGTTCTCTACTTTTTAAAATATGGTACTTGAGTTTCTTTGATGTATTCCTACTCTGACATATCTCTTATTTGGATGGTTATTTCTGAATAAAGGTGTTTGACTTCTCTCTCTCTCTTTCTCCTCTTCTCCCTTCTCTTATTTTAAGTAGGTCTCTTTCTATAAACTCCATTACTGCAAGACTCTTCACTCCTAGTTTTGAGTTGGAGTTGAGTTGTATGCTATGGCATACAAAACTGGGCCACTAACAAGAAGCTCTCTAGTTTTCATGTGGCAGTGTCCACTGAGAATAATTGCAAATATTTTTTTTTTAAGGAGGAAGGGCATCTTCACTTCCTTTGCAGCAGTAAGTTATTTAACCAGATTAAGGGTACATATCAGAGGAACTTCTCTTTTTAACTTGTGTTTTTTTCAGTACATTTGCATTTAGTTCCAATTATGGTGGGGTAAAGTGAACTGTTATAAACTCTTTTAATTGTGAGTTCCAGCATTAGGTCCATGCTTGAGGGGGATGATTGGAGACCATAGTCTTCTGTTTGTCTCATGAGACTTTCCCATTTTGTCTACAATTTTGTTATTCTAGAAAAACATGGTTGGTATCGCAGAGACAAGACTGAGACTTGAATTGAATGCTGTATTTCATGACTACCAAGGTGGTATGCTCACAAGAATCTGTGTTGTTTAATAGGCAGGATGTTGCATATTGTACCAGATGGAAATTTTACAAAGATCTGTCTATTCACTAGGTATGAGTTCCAGTAACCGGGTAAGGAGTTGAATGCAAAGAATGAGTGGTTTCAGCTATCATGGCTATTTGAGGATCAAACAGCTCTGATGATCCAAAAGGCTGTGGAATTATGTAAATCTGATGGCAAAGTCCCTTGGTTGTGAGATTCATTAGAAATTGTAAGTTCTTTTGATGTTCTTTTATTTTCCTGCCTCCATCATTACCTCAGCCTTCCCCCAATTCATCTTTAAGCGACCTGCTCTTCATCCAAGAGCTGATTTCAGCTAGGGACTCTGAAGGCTGTGAGATGGTACATTTTTAAGTTTTATATAAAGGGTATGTAGAAGTGGGAGTCTTCTATGTGAGGCTAGCACTTCAGCTTGTGTTATTACTTTAGCTTTCCCATTCATAGGGATGTTGACTTGTATGTTAAAGACTGAGCAGGATGATTATGGATAACTTATCCTTGTGTTCATAGAGGAGACAATCATTCACCACAGCAACAAGTGCTGTCTCTGAATCAGGCACTAGTTTGAAACCTGACTGAGAAGAGTGCAGGATATTGATGACTGATAGGTGCTCAGTCAGTTTGGCTAGCAACAGGAGGTGAGAACTAAGTGGCAGTTTGTGAGGTGAGGTACTTTGTAAAACCTTCTTTAAGAAATCTATCACCCACCCTAAAAACAATCAGATCTTCCCGGTCCCAGATGTTTTTTCCTGTACTAAGGTCAGGAGTCAGTTCTATGTAGGGCCTTGATTTCTGTCAGTGCCACTGTGATTGCTTCTTGTGTGAACAGGCCAAATTCCTGGAAGAAAAGTGTTGTGTTCTGGGTGACTCATGAAGCCAATGTGTAGGTGGATGGTCTCATGAAATGATGGGCTGGTTTCTAGGGTTGAGTTGAGGCAGACTGAGCTTATGAAGTGATTTATAGTCAGGAAAATCTCTGCAGGGCATGATGCTGCTATTTCTGAGGCAGAGGAGAAGTGAGACCTCTTTGCCTCCTTTGCACTAGTGGCATAGATTTGTAGAAATTTTTTGCCTGTTTCTGTATCAAATGTTTTCCACTACTGACGCTATTTGTTTGTTTTGACATCCTAATTTCCTGGAAGTCTAGTGGTTTCTTATACCTGGCAAAGCATGATTTAAGTGAAACATCAATTTAGAGATGCTCATTTTTACTAGAAATATTATTTATGAGTAAGAAAACATCTATTAATAGCAAAGTAAAGTCTTACGTCTTTGAAGTGTAGCTGAACTCCATACTTCAATGACATTTTGCAAAAGGAAAAATAAATGCCAAAACTACATCCATTCTCTGATTTATCAATTTCATAAAGGATTTTTTGACAGCCTGCACAATGCACTATTTCTTTGCTGCTTATCCTCTGTCAAAACATTATTAAAATAATATATAGGCATAAGGGGAAGGATATGTTGGGACTGGGAAAGGATAAATTGGATGTTTATTTTTCAGAAACCTAACAATGTTCTT